TTTTAAATGAAGAGCTCTGATAGAGATCATCTCCATGAGGAAGTTTATTTCTCCATTTCAAGTAAAAACTGTAAGAAATTTCATTTTATTCTGATTCTCCAGGCTCTGTCTATATTAAACATTTGCGATGCTCTTGTCTCAGTACCTAAGAATGCTTGATTTTTCAAATCTGCTGAGCTGAAAAGTCCTGAGTTACTCATCACTCACTACTGAAGTAAGGAACCAGTGCTCCTATTTGTTTTGTGGTTGATAAAAGGGTCTCTGTTTTCCTCCCAGGGATCCCTTTTGCTCACAATCATTCACTTATTGAGAGTGTCTTATGAACCATGAACTGGTCTAGGATCTGGAGCTACAATAATTGAAATCTAAAAGTCCTTACCCTCATAAAATAGATTTTAGCAGGGTAGACATGCAGCAATACACGTGTTCTAACACTCTACGATCTGTGATACCCAATAGTGAGGTAAAAAACTCGTGTAAACTTCAACTGCGGGCAAAACCTGACCTAACTTTGAGAAAGACCATTTATATTCTTTATTCATCACATTTAGAATCTTCCCTTTCTTGAATTTTAGTTCATTGAGCCCTTGTTTTCACAGCTTCTTAGTGTCCTTAAAAGAGAGTTTACTTTTGTTTTTCATGATTCCTTTTCAGCAGTGGGAATTGTGGCTGGCTGCACACATGATATCTTACTTAGCAGCAAAATCCTCATGCTTGCTTCTTTCAAATCATGTTGAAAATGTAGAAAAGTTAAATACCTAAAACCGAATAAATTGGTGATAACAACTGTCTGTATACACAGACAGAGTGTATTTTAGAACACTCTTTCCAGGAGAGCCTTAACTTATATTATTGACTTTCTTTTTCTCATTAGCACCTAATGTCACCAAGTCACTCTAATGACAAAATAAAGGAATGGCAGAATGTGTCTAATTTCCCTCCGTCCTCAGCAGGAGTCAGACAGCTTGCCAAAGATCTGGCCAATGAGATTAAATTGATTTTTTTTCCAGCATTCATGATTGGATAATATCACTTTGCATTTTTTAGCACTTTACCTTAGTATTTTTAGTTTATACTGAAAATGGCTATCTTTTACAATAAAACCCTCTATTAACATTGAAGTTGGGTTATAAAGAGAATATCAGCTATTTGATCTTGGACAGTAAACTCTTAGCTTTAAAAAAATTCCATCTTTAAATTGAGAATGAAAAATAAACTTTCATGTTAATATTACCCTGTTATTAGTATCCTTATCCTTATTTTCTAATGCTTTATATCTCATTATTTTGAATATCAAATACACTAGTGACTAGGAGAACCCTTTCCAAGCCTGAATGTCCATTCAGGCAATGTTATTTATAGCTTTGTGATTAGTAGAATGAAGAGTTGACTTCCCTGGTAATAGTTCAAAAAGAATTAAATGATAATGATTGTCTAAGAAAAATATCCATTTATCATTTCTAGAAAAAAAGGCATGTAAAGTCTATATATCTGCAAATGTATGAATATTCAAAGTAGGAAGACTATCATATTTAAGGTTAAGAAATGAAGGTTACAGGATCAGTAATCTTATCAAAATTAGAATGACATAAAATCTAAATGATGCCAAAAATAATATAAGACATTTTGCACATGCTTGTGCTTCTGCTTTTGTGATAACAAGAACAAAACGGTAACAAAAAATCAGTAGGATGCAAAAAGTGTTCATTCATAGTTACCCGGAGCAATCAGTTTAATAGCAAAGCTCTGAAATAGCACATACCGAAGTATTTATATAAAAAATGAAAGAGTAAAAAATGTTTAGAAATTCTGATAAAATTTCTTTTTTGTGGCAATACATTTGTCATACTAGTCAAAATAAGCTTAAAAGTCAGATTTTCTCTGGATTTGCTTCAGCCTAATTTGTAAGCATATTTTAGACAGGTTTGTGATAAAATATTCAAACAGTTTGAACTACTTGTTTATGTTGTGTTAATAACTGGGTTTTTCTCCTCTCTAGAAAAACCCTGAAGCAGAAGTTACTTATAATACTCACCTGGTATATTTTTAAGATTCATTCAAAGCAAGAATAATAAACTGATAAAGCCATAGCCGTCCATCTGTCAAGCCTGGATGAGCAAATTCACAGTTCACCTGGAACTGCTTGTATGTGAAAATAGTGATTTGTATTGTAGAAATATGAACACAGCTCTTACAGTGACAGGGAGGCAGTCTGAAATAGCAGAAAGAATTCTAAATTAGAGAATAGGACACTGGATTCTGCCTCTCCTGCTAGCGATCTGAGTAAGTTGGTGCAAGTCTCTTACGCCAGATCTGTTCTTTTTTCCTGGCTAAATGATAAAGTTGGAGTAGTCAACTTTTAAGTTTCCTTTTAGTTTAAAATTGTTTTCATTTTCTGCCAGGCATCCAGGTGTGCAAAAAAGTAATTTTTTTTTTGTCCTATCAACAAATGTAAATTCTATTAAGGGCTTCTTTTGCCTGATACTAAATAGTGTAATTTGGGTTTGAGCTAACTGAATTTTGTCTGGCAAAATTTGTCATTTAAATACAATTGGTTGATGACTGTCCCTTTTTTCTTATTTATTGTACCTTGGGTGGCATCTAAATAATGGTAGTGACCGTGGGGTTACCTGATGATGTGTCTGCCCGTGGTGGCATCTGCCGAAGTGTGCATAATCATCCATCTGGTCTGTAGGCATTACAGCCTCCCACTGAGATATCCCTTTAAGGGATCTGAACTTGGTTCTACAAAATCCAGGTTACTTCCCTTAGTTCTCCTCACGGCCAAAGATTCTTTCAGATATTTTGGGGTACAGCCTCACTCTTTTTATCTCTCTCTTTTTCTTTATCTAAAACTTTCTTGAAATAAAACAAAAATAAACTGTCTCATACTTCAATGGAAATATTTGTATGTTGCCCAGGTCAAGCTCAGCTTACATGTATTGCATCTTCAAGTATTTCATCATGGAGGCCCAGGATAAACCTGAACCTGGGTTGGGAAGTTAGAGTAAAGTTCATTCCACTCTTAGATCTTCAAACCCATCTGGGGTTGTATCAGAGACCCTGTACAGAGTCTGGCTAGAAGTTGGACAGGACACCGCCCTGTTTGGAAAACTCTGTCACAATCTGATTTTGTTGCTTACTGTTCAGCTTTCCTTTTTCTTTTCTTTCCTTGAAAAATATTTATCTAATTTCATGAAGGGAAGAAGGTGACAAGAATTAGATATTTGGCAATATCTGTTATTGGACCAGGACCTTGGCCTCATGGTATGAAAAAGATCCAGGTATTTGTAACTCAAAACACCTTGTATTTTCAAAAGTAATTACCATTACTATAAAATTCTGTCTAAAAATTCAATACTGAACACTGATTCATGTATTCCTCTGTGTATTTTTGTGATAAAGACATTTTCCTGATGGAAGATGTGGGTTTTGCTTCTTGGGACTAAGGTGGTCTCTGTGTACATGAAAGGTACACTAGTCTACATAGCAGTTGATATTTGAAAACATTATTCTTTTACATGATTTTTATTATTTTATACTTTTGTCTCAATTTTTATAGTTATTCATGTTTGGTGAATGATTCTCTTTCTAGGCCAATGTAATAGAGGAGGGGACTAGAAACAGAAGATCAGTATTACAAAAATCTGAGATCACTTGGGCGTGCTTAATAAGTATTATCTTTTATTTTTATGACCGTGAACAGGTGTGGAAACTGTGAAGCTATTTCATTTTTAAGATACCAGGAAATAGACTAATGCACAAATTTATTGCCATGAAAAACAAAAGTAATTGGGAACTACAATTTTACCTTAAAGTAGGTGTCAGTGTGATATCAGGAAAATGGCAAAGTAGGCAGCTTCCACCTTTGGTCCTCCAACAGAAACACTGAAAACAGACATGGTCAGGATCAACTGTGTTAGAACTGCGGAAAATGATAAAATTCTATAGCCATGACAAAAATGCTGAGCCAAAAAAAAAAAAAATAAATAAAAGCAACTTATACATAAAAGGGAAGTTTGTGTCGTAATTTTGCTTGTCCTTGCTTCCCTCCCAGCTTAGAAGTAGTCTTAAAGAAAATAGCACATGAATCCAGAGAGGCACCCGGGCCCCTCATTCTGGAAGTAGCAGAGTAAAGTCTGTTTGCAAAGTATTGTGTATGTCTGCTCAAACTTTTCTGGGACTACCTGAGTTCTAATGCAGGCACTTGTCTTTTTTTTACCTAAACCTGATACTCATCTGGGCTGGAAAAACTGTGGGCATTGCTGGAAAATGTTGTAGGGTGGAAGAGGAACATGGTTACCCACGGTGAAAGAGTATGGTTCACACACACAAAAGAATACCCTAAAGCTAGGGAAGAACGGCCTGGGAGAGTGTCTTAGGGAAATTAAAACATTGGGAATTACCCGTGTATGCAGGAGAATTCAGAAAGGCACGTGCATGCACAGGGCAAAGCACATGCTCAGAAAAGACTATTGCTCCTCAGGCTGATTCCCTACACAAAAGGTAAGCCTAGTTGAGTTAGAAGGAGAGTCCCAGTGCAGAGAAAAACTACAAAGATTTGGAGATATTTTTATTCAGTTTTTTCTTGTATCTTTCCTTTTTTTTTTGGCTCCTAGCATTCAAGCAAATCTCTGCCAAAATGCTAGCTGAACACAAGCTAATAAATAAAGTCTTCTGTGACTACACATGGCAAGGAGCGCAGTCTCTGCAAGAATAATTGGGAAAGAGTTACTAAACAGTGGTAAACTATAGACTTCATCAGTCAATGAAACAGATAGCAATGGATAAGGAGGAGAATTTGACTTCCATAGTTACCATATTATATTATTTAAATGCCCAGTTTAAAAATAAAACCACAAAGTATACCAAGAAACAGGGGAGTATGATCCACTCAAGGAATAAAATAAATTACTCAAAGTTGTGCCTGAGGAAGCCTAGGCATTGGACTTACTAGACAAAGACTTTGAAACAATTATCTTTTAAAAGTATTTATTTTTAGAAATATGGAATGCTTTATGAATTTGTACATCATCCTTGTGCAGGGGCATTACTAATCTTCTTTGGATTTTGGCAATTAAAATAATGATCTTTTAATAAAGTTTTCTTTTCATTGTAGTATAATGTATAATTCACAACTGAAAATTTGTCATGTTGGGCCATTTTCGGTGTACAATTTTGTGATGTTAGTTATATTCACATGGTTATGCAACTATAACTGCTATTTCCAGTGATTTTTTTCATCACCTCAAAAACTCTGTACCCCATAAGCAATAACTTCCTATTTTCATCTCCTCAAGCCATAGAAATCTATAAACTATTTTCTATACATATCAATTTAACTGTTCTAGAGACTTCCTATAAGTGAATTGCACGATATATCATTTTGTATCTGGTTTATTTGACTTAGCATAATGTTTTTAAGGTTTATCCATATAACAGTATCAGAAATTCTGTTCTTTTTTATGGCCAAATAATATTTCATTTTGTGTATGTGCCTCATTTTGTTGATTTGTTTATCCGTCGATGTACTCTTGGATTATTTGCACTTTTTGGCTACTGGGAACAGTGCTATAACAAGCATTGGCATCTAGGCATTGTTTGAGTTCTTCTTTTCAATTATTTTGGGTATATACTTAGGCTGGGGAACATTTCTATTTTATGTTCAGCTTTTTGAGGAACTGCCAAATTGTTTTATATGGTAACTGTCCTATTTTGTATTTGTATTAGGATTCCCGTTTAGCTATATTCTCACCAACACTGTTATTTCTTCCTTCTCTTTTTTATTTAGTGTAGCCTACCTAGCAGCCATGAGGTGATACCTCTTTGTAGTTCTAATTTGTGTACCCCTAATGAGCTATGACTTTGAGCATCTTTTCATGTGCTGATTGGCCATTTGCATACATTCTTTGGAGAAATGCTTATTCAAGTCTATCACTGTTTTTTAATTAGATTGTTTTGTCTTTTTATTGTTGAATTTAAAACAGCTACCTTAAGTAGCACAAAAAGCTGAAGGTAATCAGGAAAGTAATATATGAATGGAAGAGGAATATGAATAAAAGGTAAAAGTTATTAAAAAGAAACAAATAGAAATTCTAGGCCTAAAAAGTACAATCATGAAATTAAAAATCCTGTAGAGGTATTCAAAATATTTCAGCAAGCAGAAAATAGAATCAGCAAACTTAGATGTAGAAAAATTTCGATTATCTGGTGTAAAGAGCAGAAAGAAAGAAAGAAGGAATGAAAGGAAATAGAGCATACTGGACCCACGGGGCTCCATCAAATAGACTAACATATGTATAATGAACATCCAGATGAAGAAGACAAAGAATAAAACCAAGAAAGAATATTTGGATAAATAATGTTCCCAAATTTCCCCAATATTATGAAAAGAATCTACAAATCCAAGAAAATCAAGAACCTATAAAGAAAATGACCACAAAGAGGTTCACACCAAGACACATTATAATCAAACTGGTGAATGCCCAAGACAGTTTTTTCTTAATCACTACTTTGACATGGATTGGTTAAGAACAAGGACAATTGCTTACATAATCACAATACTATTATGAGGCCTAAGGAAAAGAACGATAATTCCATATCATATATTCATATTCCAATTTCTCTGATTGTCATAAAAATGTTTCTAAAACCCTAACTAAACTAATCAACTAAAATGATATAATCACTTGAGGGAAAAATTATTTCAAAGAACCTTTGAAAAGAATATTTTTATTCTTCTAAGTATATCTTATTTGGATGCATTCAAAGGGAAAACATCCTAAATATAAACCCTAAACATCACTCATATTTATTTTTTGGGGGGGATTATTTTTATTTTATTTTACTTATTTCTGTAGATTTAGGGGGAAATTATTTTTTGTGGCATGAATGAATTGTATAGTGGTAAAAACTGGGCATTTAGCATGCTTGTCACCCAAATAATGTACATTGTACCAAATAGATAATTTTTTTCTTTTTTTGGCAGTTTTTGGCCAGGCCTGGGGCTGGCGCCCTACTCCTTCGAGCCACAGGTGCCACCCACTAAATAGGTAATTTTTTATCCCTCCTTAAGCCCCCCAAAGATGGGTTACCAACATTGGTGATTAGATAAATGCAAATTAAAACTACAATTATATACCCCTTACTCTCCAGTAGAGAAGCTAAAATGAAAAGGATTAAAAACAATCACATTTGGGAAAATGAAAAGTGGTTGGAATATTCATCGTTGCTTTTGATAGTAGAAAATGGATAAAATACCTTTGGAGAACTTTCTGGTTCTTTCTTATAATGTTAAACATATACTTACCTACAACCAGTGACTTGACTCTTAAATTTTCACTCAAGGAAAATGTCACAAAATTGTATAAAAATGTTTACAGTGGCATTACCTATAATTGCATAAATTGCAAATAATCTAAATTTCAATAACAGGAGGATGATAAAGCAAACTGTGATAAAATCATACAGTAGAACACATGATAATGAATATACTGATGTCAAGTGCAGTAAGACAGACAAACTGCGGAAATATCATGCTGAACGACAAGACACGATAGAGAGTTCATCCCTTGTGAATTGACTTATATGACATTCAAACACTAGCAAAACTAATCTATGGTGAGAGAAGATGCTTTGGGTGAGGAAAAGCTGAGAGGGAATCTACTCTAAAGAAACAGTGATGCAAATGTTCTGTGTATTGATTGTGGTAGTGGACAAAAATCATATATATTTATGATATATTTTATGTTTTATCACTTCTACATCAATAATACATATTTTCATATGCATATATTTGTCAACTCATCAAATTATACACTTATGATCTATTGTGAGTCATTTAAAAATTAAGAGGCAAAGAGTCAAAAACATATCAAATGTGCACAATTACCCACACAAATACAGTTGACTAAGTACAGTTTTTATGCTTTATTTGAAAGCCTAGACACATGATTTAGTGGAGACAATAGAAAGCGAGTTATGAAACGCATTTTGGTTTGTGTTTTTGAGCAAAGTACTTGGCCTGTCTGAGCTCAGATTCTACCAACACTAGAATAAATAAAATACTATTTTATTCATTTAATTTTTGTGATTTTAAAATAAGTTGCCAGGAAGCCTTGAACATAGGAGTTATTCATAAAGTACTTGTTTGACAAATGCATGTATGTATGTGCATACATATGTATGGATGGAATAATAGATGGAATAATTGTTCTTAATTTTAATGGCTACAACCTATCTCTAACTATCTCTGTTAGCTCTCTAACACATCATTTTGCAGCAAAATTTACTATGACAATGTACTATTCTTATTTGTTGCCCAGCATGGTACTGAGCATGTAGGTGATAGCAAAAAAAATTTGTTGAATGAATAAATGGTTATCAGCAAATTTTGATGAAATGTGTAGTATGTTGGAATTTTAAGTTAAACATAGGGACAGATTATTACTGGAGTGTGTATAATATATGTGACAGTTGAAATGATTTATGCTATTATATTTAGGAGAAGTCATTAATAAGTTAATGTACTATATGACTCTCAGACAAGCATGAAAAATATACATATTAATTAATATTTTTAATAGTTGAAAAAGTCAGATTTTTATAATCTGTAATCATTAAATGGAGAAAAACCCTTAATAAATCAGAAATAATAAAACACTGTATTTCAGACTTTGAACTTTGAAAATCATAGGAGAATCCATGTGGTGGCTATGACCTTAATGGGTAGGAGAGGCCATAGCAGTGGCCACAGATAATGATTTATTAAAAACTCTTCCTTGCATTAGAAGATCCATCCTTTGTTCAGATGGTCACACAGTAAGACAACTTGATCTTTTTTGCATGATTTAAGAACCTGGCTACTGCAATTTTTTGGTTCAAATAGCCATGTTAAGTAAGAGAAATTCTCATTCTAAAAGTGTGGAGTAAACTAAACTTGTTCAAGTAATGGAAATGATACTTGCTTGGAAATTTAAGTTGATTTCAAAATATATATGGTTATATAAAGTACTTAAATACCAATCAGATAAGAAGATACAGAAGAACAGACAGAAATGAGGATGAAATGAGAGAAACAAGCAGAGAGAAAAAGTGGAAGGACACTTTTTTTCTCTACTTTTAATTTGCTAAGGAGTGGGAAACACTTAGAAATGAACGTAAATAATCATAATTGTACTCTGGGCATGTCCTTGTAAAGTACAAGCTGGGTCACTCAGTTATCCTTAAATAAGAATTAGATATTGAATACCTGAGCAGTAATTTAATATTCCAAGGGTGTTCTTGACACCATACATTAATACATTTTTAATGAAATGATTAGAGAAATAGACTTTTTAAAAAATATTTTCAGATAAGTATGAGGGTACAAGCATTAGATTACAACGTTTGCATTTGTTAGATAAAGTCTCTTATAGTTGTGTCCTACACCCAGGAGGTGTGCCATATATCCTTAAATTGTGCCCATGAGGTGGGAGCTCACCAACCCTCTTCCCTTTTTCCCTCTTCCCCTAACTTGAATTGAGTTTTTCTCTTGTGTGGGCATGTATTATTTAGTCTGCTGGCTTCTTATTAGTATTAATATTAAGTAACTTGGATACTTGTTTTTTCATTTTTATAAAACGTTACTAAGAAGAATGTGCTTTAGCTTCTTCTAGGTTAATACATAAGATGTAAAATCTCCCTCTTTTCATGGCTGAACAGTATTCTATGGTATTCAAATACCACAGATTGTTAATCCATTCCTGGGTTGGTTGGCATTTAGATTGTTTCTACCTCTTGGCAATTGTAAATTGAGCTTCAATAAACAATCTAGTGCAAATGTCCTTATGATAAAATGATTTTTTTCTCTGGGTAGATGCCTAGTAATGAGATTGCAGGATCAAATGGAAGGTCCATTTTGAGTTCTTTGATGATTCTCCATATTTCTTTCCAAAGGATGCATTAGTTTGTAGTCCCTCCAACAATGCAGAAATGTTCCTTTCTCTCTTCATCCACACTAGCATCTGCAACTTTGGGGCTTTGTGATGTGGGCTGGAGAGATAGACTTGAAATATAGAATCTATTTTTGTGTCATCAGAAAATTCCGTACTTTTTCCTTTGCAG